CAAGAAACATCCCACGAGACACCCCGCGAAACATCCCACGAGACACCTCACGAAACATTCCACGAGACACCTCACGAAACATTCCACGCGACACCCCCGCCGCCCGGAGCCCACCAGAGGCCGCTCCAGTCAAAAAACAAAACACTCGTACGATCCCAGACGCGATCGGGGGAGGGGGAGGGGGAGGGGGAGGTGGTGGTGGTGTATTATTTTTGGCCCCCCACGTCGGGGACGGAGGGACGGAAGGCGTCGGCAACCTCCCTGGGCCGCGTTTGGTAGACAAACACGCCGACGGACGTCTGGGGAGGGCCTAGCCGTCGCCGCCGTTGCTGCCACTGGCGTCGCCCACAGTCGTGTTCAGGAGGGAAAAACATGATGACCCACGAACCCGGACCCCTAAAGGGATATAGACATGTGCAGCATGGTCACGTTTTCACGATATCCAACTGGGCGACACCACACGAAACATCCCACGAGACACCCCGCAAAACATCCCACGAGACACCTCACGAAACATTCCACGAGACACCTCACGAAACATTCCACGCGACACCCCCGCCGCCCGGAGCCCACCAGAGGCCGCTCCAGTCAAAAAACAAAACACTCGTACGATCCCAGACGCGATCGGGGGAGGGGGAGGGGGAGGGGGAGGTGGTGGTGGTGTATTATTTTTGGGCCCCCCCACCGTCGGGGACGGAGGGACGGAAGGGCGTCGGCACCTCCCTGGGCCGCGTCTTGGTAGACAACACGCCGACGGACGTCTGGGGAGGGCCTCGCCGTCGCCGCCGTTGCTGCCACTGACGTCGCCACCATCGACGTTCAGGGAGGGAAAAACACGATGGACCCCACGAACCCGGAAGGGATATAGACATGTGGAGCCGGGTCACGTTTTCACGATACCCAACTAGGGTGCGGACACCTCAAGAAACATCCCACGAGACACCCCGCGAAACATCCACGAGACACCTCACGAAACATTCACGAGACACTCACGAAACATTCCACGCGGACACGCCCGCCGCACGGAGCCCACCAGAGGGCCGCTCCAGTCAAAAAACAAAAAAACCACTCGTACGATCCAGACGCGATCGGGGAGGGGGGAGGGGGGAGGGAGGGGGGGGTGGTAGTATTTTGGGCCCCCCCCACCGTCGGGGACGGAGGGACGGAAGGGCGTCGGCACCTCCCTGGGCCGCGTCTTGGTAGACAACACGCCGACGGACGTCTGGGGAGGGCCTCGCCGTCGCCGCCGTTGCTGCCACTGACGTCGCCACCATCGTCGTTCAGGAGGGAAAAACATGATGGACCCACGAACCCGGAAAGGGATATAGACATGTGGAGCACGGTCACGTTTTCACGATACCCAGCTGGGCGACACATCAAGAAACATCCCACGAGACACCCCGCGAAACATCCCACGAGACACCTCACGAAACATCCCACGAGACACCTCACGAAACATTCCACGCGACACCCCCGCCGCCCGGAGCCCACCAGAGGCCGCTCCAGTCAAAAAACAAAACACTCGTACGATCCAGACGCGATCGGGGGAGGGGAGGGGGGAGGGGAGGTGGAGTGGTGGGGGTATTATTTTTGGGCCCCCCCACCGTCGGGGACGGAGGGGACGGAAGGGAGTCGGCCACCTCCCGGCCCGCGTCTTGGTAGACAAACACGCCGACGGCCGTTGGCGGAGGGCCTCGCCGTTCGCCGCAGTTGCTGCCACTGACGTCGCCACCATCGTCGTTCAGGAGGGAAAAACATGATGGACCCACGAACCCGGAAAGGGATATAGACATGTGGAGCACGGTCACGTTTTCACGATACCCAACTGGGCGACACTTCAAGAAACATCCCACGAGACACCCCGCGAAACATCCCACGAGACACCTCACGAAACATTCCACGAGACACCTCACGAAACATTCCACGCGACACCCCCGCCGCCCGGAGCCCACCAGAGGCCGCTCCAGTCAAAAAACAAAACACTCGTACGATCCCAGACGCGATCGGGGGAGGGGGAGGGGGAGGGGGAGGTGGTGGTGGTGTATTATTTTTGGGCCCCCCCCACCGTCGGGGACGGAGGGACGGAAGGGCGTCGGCACCTCCCTGGGCCGCGTCTTGGTAGACAACACGCCGACGGACGTCTGGGGAGGGCCTCGCCATCGCCGCCGTTGCTGCCACTGACGTCGCCACCATCGTCGTTCAGGAGGGAAAAACATGATGGACCCACGAACCCAGAAAGGGATATAGACATGTGGAGCACGGTCACGTTTTCACGATACCCAATTGGGCGACACCTCAAGAAACATCCCACGAGACACCCCGCGAAACATCCCACGAGACACCTCACGATACATTCACGAGACACCTCACGAAACATTCCAACGCGACACACCCGCCGCCCGGAGCCCACCAGAGGCCGCTCCAGTCAAAAAACAAAACACTCGTACGATCCCAGACGCGATCGGGGGAGGGGGAGGGGGAGGGGGAGGTGGTGGTGGTGTATTATTTTGGGGCCCCCCCCACCGTCGGGGACGGAGGAGGCACCGCGGTCGGCACCTCCCTGTCCGGGCCGCGTCTTGGTTAGACAACCACGCCGACGGACGTCTGGGGAGGGCCTCGACGTCGCCGCCGTTGCTGCCACTGACGTCGCCACCATCGTCGTTCAGGAGGGAAAAACATGATGGACCCACGAACCCGGAAAGGGATATAGACATGTGGAGCACGGTCACGTTTTCACGATACCCAACTGGGCGACACCTCAAGAAACATCCCACGAGACACCCCGCGAAACATCCCACGAGACACCTCACGAAACATTCCACGAGACACCTCACGAAACATTCCACGCGACACCCCCGCCGCCCGGAGCCCACCAGAGGCCGCTCCAGTCAAAAAACAAAACACTCGTACGATCCCAGACGCGATCGGGGGAGGGGGAGGGGGAGGGGGAGGTGGTGGTGGTGTATTAGTTTTGGGCCCCCCCCACCGTCGGGGACGGAGGGACGGAAGGGCGTCGGCACCTCCTGGGCCGCGTCTTGGTAGACAACACGCCGACGGACGTCTGGGGAGGGCCTCGCCCGTCCCCGCCGTTGCTGCCACTGACGTCGCCACCATCGTCGTTCAGGAGGGAAAAACATGATGGACCCACGAACCCGGAAAGGGATATAGACATGTGGAGCACGGTCACGTTTTCACGATACCCAACTGGGCGACACTCAAGAAACATCCCACGAGACACCCCGCGAAACATCCCACGAGACACCTCACGAAACATTCCACGAGACACCTCACGAAACATTCCACGCGACACCCCCGCCGCCCGGGAGCCCCACCAGAGGCCGCTCAGTCAAAAAACAAAACACTCGTACGATCCCAGACGCGATCGGGGGAGGAGGAGGGGGAGGGGGAGGTGGTGGTGGGTATTATTTTTGGGCCCCCCCCACCGTCGGGGACGGAGGGACGGAAGGGCGTCGGCACCTCCCTGGGCCGCGTCTGGTAGACAACACGCCGACGGACGTCTGGGGAGGGCCTCGCCGTCGCCGCCGTTGCTGCCACTGACGTCGCCACCATCGTCGTTCAGGAGGGAAAAACATGATGGACCCACGAACCCGGAAAGGGATATAGACATGTGGAGCACGGTCACGTTTTCACGATACCCAACTGGGCGACACCTCAAGAAACATCCCACGAGACACCCCGCGAAACATCCCACGAGACACCTCACGAAACATTCCACGAGACACCTCACGAAACATTCCACGCGACACCCCGCGAAACATTCCACGAGACACCCCACGAACAGGCAACCACTCAACCAAAGCACATCGCGGACGAGGACGACGACGGCATTCCACGAGACACCCCACGAAACATTCCACGGGAGTGCGACTGGGTGTGGTCGTGCTGTGGTGTGGTCGTGCTGGGGCGTGGTCGTGCTGAGGAGTGGTCGTGCTGGGGTGTGGTCGTGCTGGGGTGTGGTCGTGCTGGGGGGTGGTCGTGCTGGGGGGTGGTCGTGCTGATGGGGTGGCCGTGCTGGGGGGTGGTCGTGCTGGGGCGTGGTCGTGCTGGGGCGTGATCGTGCTGGGGTGTGGTCGTGCTGTGGTGAGGTCGCGCTGTGGTGAGGTCGTGCTGGGGTGTGGTCGTGCTGGGGTGTGGTCTTGCTGGGGTGGGGTCGTGCTTGGGTGGGGTCGCGCTGTGGTGAGGTCGTGCTGGGGTGTGGTCGTGCTGGGGTGGGCTCGTGCTGGGGCGGGGTCGTGCTGGGGAGTGGTCGTGCTGGGGCGTGGTCGTGCTGGGGTGTGGTCGTGCTTGGGTGGGGTCGTGCTGGGGTGTGGTCGTGCTGGGGTGTGGTCGTGCTGGGGTGGGCTCGTGCTGGGGTGGGGTCGTGCTGGGGAGTGGTCGTGCTGGGGTGTGGTCGTGCTGGGGTGTGGTCGTGCTGGGGCGTGGTCGCGCTGGGGTGGGGTCGTGCTGGGGCGGGGTCGTGCTGGGGAGTGGTCGTGCTGGGGCATGGTCGTGCTGGGGTGTGGTCGTGCTGAGGCGGCCCGCACCCTGTGATTTATCGATCGGGATTTCAAAAACAAGCGTTTCGCCGGAGACATCCTCAAATTTTAATCCGCCGGCCTCCTTCGACCTCGATATTTATCAGGGAAAGAATCCGCCGGCCTCCTTTAAGTTGGGCGCGGGGGACTATGTTTACATACTAAAAGAGAACCCTGGGCCTGAGCCCTTTCCGGGAAAAACACAGACACACTTAATCGCCGATTCCCCAGAAAATATGGGAAAATATGGGAAAATATGGGAAGTGGGGGGAAGACAGAAACCCAGAAGATATGGTAAAATATGGGTAATATTTTGATTTGTGTGTATTAATTTGTGTGTCCTGGGGCCCCTTCTGTCGTCGCCGCCGTGGTCGTCGCCGCCGCCGTCGTCGCGACAGCCGCCCGCGTCGCTGTCGCCCCCGCTGCAGTCGCTGCCGTCTTCTCGCCGCCGCCGGCCGCGGCGAGGCGGGCTACTCGAACTGGGAGGCGGGGTGGTCGCTGGGGTCGCCCTGGAAGCCGCGCGCGCTACACGGGGATCGGTGAGATCGACAGGGGACGGAAGGAACGGGTACGAAAGCCAGGGTTGGGTGGCATGTCGGCCCCTCGCAGTTCAAAGGTTGTTTCGAGCTTGGGGCGGAAGAGGCAGATTCCTCTCTCTCTCTCTCTCTTTCTCTTTCTGTTTGTTTGTTATTTTTGTTGGTTCTCTCTCTCTGTTTTTGTGTTGCTTCTTGTTTTACTGGAGACATTCATATTGCTTTCTTATGATTATTTTCGCGAGGGGATGTTACGAAGAGTTCCTTCAGGAAGCGCCCTTTTGTGTGTGGGCGTGCCAATATATTACCTTAGGGGAGGGCACACATCGATTTTTTTCCGTGGGCGTTTTTGCATCGTTTTCCTCTGCGGGGATACAAAAATATTCCCTCTGTGTGTGGGGGGGTTTGGACTGGTTGATCCTTTTTGTGTCGGACGGGGGGGGACCATGGGGGGAAAGTCAAACTTTCCCCGCGACGTAACCGGAATCAATTTGTCCCCACCCACATCTTCGTCGCAGCGCCGCAGAGGCAGTCCGCACGCGCGCTCAGGCGGTCAGGACAATGGAAAGCGCAAACTCACCGGCGGCAGGAGGAAGGGACAACGGGCGAAAGCGGCTGCGAGGGGGGAAGGAGGGATGGGAGGGCACTGCCATGGCGATGTGCGTCGCCGTGGAGCGGCCGGGGCGGGCAGCCAATGCTGCATCCCTGGCAGCAGGCGCAGGGGCTGCAGTGCACGAAGCGGAAGAGGCACTGCACTGAGACAGACAACGAATGGCCACGTCGACGACGACCCAGTCATGCGGGTGGCCAAGAGGTGGCTGGGCCCTGGGCGGCAAAATGCAGCGGGGAAGGCCATGGGCCGGCTGGAGGGGGCGGGCATTGCTGCCTGCTGGGGCCTGCGTTGGCGGGTGCGGGAGGGGACCGATCCCACCGGCAGCTGGCCAGCGAGGAGGCAGCGCAGCAGGTGGCGGGGGCGCAGTGGCGCGCCCGCGCAGCAGCGCCGTGCACTGCAAGGGGCGAATGGCGGCGGCCCGTGCCGGCCTGAGGGGGGCGGGAAGGGGGCAAACGCTGAGCATTTTCCTAGGGTGGAGGGCTCAGGGTGACATCCATATGGGGGGTTCTGCTCCTCGAAAATCAGTCCGTCTTGTGACTCACCTTTTGCAGGTTCAAAACTCGAAAGTGAATCGACGGCATTTCAGATTTCACTCACCCTTTGCCCTCCACCCAAAGAAAATGCTCTGAACTCTGAAACGACTGGGACCCCAGGTCGCCGTGCGGCGAGGCGGCGGGCAGGCGGAGTCAAAAGCGGCGCGCAGATGGCGGCAGACCCGGGCGGCACCCAGCCTGGAGGCAGCCCACGCAGCAGCGCAAGCGCCCCGGCGGGGTGGCAGGGGGGGTGCGCCTCTCGGCACGCCCAAGGGCCAGAGGGCCCAGAGGTGGCAGGGGGGAGCGCCTCTTGGCGGCCGCCGCAAGCGCCACCCAGGGCGCCCAAGCCACTGGCAACTGCAGCATTTTGAAGAAGCGGCGGCCGCGCTGGCAGGGGCCAGCGCCAGTCGGAGGCGCAGCCGCAGGCCCAGACAGCAGCCAAACTTAAGGCAGCAGGCGCGGAGGCGCCATCGCCCCAGACGGATTGACAGCTGGGCGCCCCCTTGCACGCTCCACGGGCCGTCTGGCACAGGGGTATGGTTGACGGGAGGCCGACCAGAGAGCCCGCGCGGGCAGCGCGCGCGCCGCGCCAGGGCCGTCAAGCCGCGGGCGGGCGCAGCGTCCCGAAAGGGCAGTGGGAGGCGACTCCGTGTCCAGGCGCCGCGCCAGGGTCATCCTAGCCGTTGGCAGGCACAGCGCCCCGAAGAAGCGGCGGTCGCGCCAAGTGACTCCATCATCCGGGGTTGACCGAGCATCCCAGATTCCAGGTTCAACGCATCTGATGGGCCCGCACACTTGCACGGGCAGCGATCAGCCAGCGAACCCAGGCAGGTGCAACGCTTTTGATCGGTGCGCACACTTGTGCATCGCAGCCACGGCACGTCCTGGGGAGTTAGGCGCTCCAGCAGGGAGGAGGTATATCCACCTGGAGGAGCGTGCGCACCCAGAGGGAGGAGAGGGGGTCGGCGCGCCACCTGGGGTGGGTAACGCGCCCACGAGACACGCGCCTGATTGGTGCACGCACAGGTATAATTACGCGCCTGGTGCCAACTGGGGGGGGTACGTAGGCGCCGTGGGGTGCAGAGTCGGATATCCAGGGCCAGTGCCAGTGAGTGCAGTGACGAACAGAGCGTCGCGACCGTCGCACAAGCGCCCGCCAGGTTGCCACCTCATCACCCCCATGCCCCGGACTGTCGGGCACATGCCACTGCGGGACTGAATTCGCGCAGACGCTGGTAACGGTCATGCTGCTCCCTGTCGTGCTGCTGGAGTCCGTCGTGCCGCCCACGATGGTGTTGCTGAAGTCCGTCGTGCTGCCGCGGTGCCCGCGGTGGAGTCCGTAGTGCTCCTCTTGATGCTGCCGCTGGAGTCCGTCGCGCGGCTCCCGATCGTGCAGCTGAAGTTCGTCGTGATGCTCGTCGTGATGCTCGCGATCGCGCAGCAAAAGTGCGCTGGGGTCCGTTGGCTGCAACCCACGGTTGTTCTGCTGGAGCCCGTTGTGCTGTCCACGATGGTGTTGCTGGCGCCCGTCATGCTGGTCACGATGGTGCTGTTGGAGTCCAACCAGTTGCTCGCGGTCTCGCTGGTGGAGCTGCCGCGCTGCTCCAGGTGTTGCTGACGGCCACCCTGTTACAATCCGGCGTGCTTTTCACGGCCGCGCTGCAGGGGGCCGTCGTGCTGCTCGCGGCGGTGCTGCTGGAGTCCGTCCATCCAGCGACTCACGGTCGCGGTGCTGGAGTTCGTGCTGGTTCTGGAGCTTGTCGTGCTGCCCACGGCCGCGCTGCTAAAAAATGTCCACCCACAGCGTTTGCACAACAGTGTCCACCCACAGCGTTAGCACACAAATATCCACCCACAGCGCTTGCATATAAGTGTCCACCCACAGCGTTGTTTTGTAAACGTGCCCACCCACAGCGTTTGCATAAAAGTGCCCACCCACAGCGATTGCATAACCGTGTCCACCCACGGCGTTTGCATACAAGTGGCTACCCACAGCGTTTACATAAAAGTGTCCAGTCACGCTGCTAGAGTCCGTGGCGCTGTTCGTGATGGTGCTGCTGGAGTCCGTCGTGCTGCTCTCGATCGTGGTGCTGCAGCCCACCGTGTTGCTCGCGAGGCTGCTTTTGGAGTTAGCCGAGCTGCTCGCGTTCGCGCTGCTGGAGTTCACCGTGCTGCTTACGATGGTGCTGCAGGCGCCTGTTGCGCCGCTCACGATGGTGCTGCTGGAGCCCGCGGTGCTGCCCAGGTCGTACTGCTGGAGCCCGTCATGCTGCTCGCGATGGAGCGGCGGAGTCTGTCATGCGGCCGTTCTGCTGGAGTCCGTCGTGCTGCTCAATGTCGTGCCTGGGCTGTCGTGTTGCCTACAGTGGCAGTGCCGGAGCACGTCCGCTGTCGCTGCGGGGTCCGCCATGTTGCCCGCGGCCAGTTGCTGGAATCCGTCGCGTTGCTCACCGACGCGCTGCTGCGGGCCGCCGCGCTGCTGTAGTCCACCTTGTAGCTCGCGTTCGCGCTGCTGGAGCCCGAAGCGCTGCTCGCGGCAACGCTGCTGAAGTGCGCCATCTGCAGCCGGCCGTGCTGCTGGAGTCCATCATGCCGCTCGCGATGGTGTTGCTGGAGTCCTAGCTGCTACTTCCGGCCGGGCCGTTGAAGCCCGTCGTGCGGAAGGAATCCGCCGCTGCTCGCGATCATGATGTTAGAGCCGCCTTGCCGCTGGCCATGCTGCAGTATGTAGGCGTCCGCCATGCTGGTCACTGTCGTGCAGTTGGGGTCCTCGCGCTGCTCGCGATAACGCTGCTGGCGCTCGTCCTGCTGCTTGCAATGGCGTGACTTGGGGCCGACCTGCTGCTGGCGGACGTGCTAATGGAGTCCGACGCGCAGCTCTAGATGCTGCTGCAGGAGTCCGCCATGCTGCTCGCGGCCAGGGCGGCGAAAGCCGAAGCGCGCAAGGCCGAGGCGCGCGCGTGCCAGGAGAGCCAGGGCGGGGCAAGGTCAGGACGACGTCCGAGGGCACGCCCGGACCAGAATTCCGAGGCGAAACCGACTGCGGCGACGGGGGAGGCGCAGTCCTCCACCAGGCACGCGCCCCAAGCCCGCCCGCGCGGTGGAGGGCGCCGCCGACGCCGTCGACGCCCCAGCCGTCCTCCGTGCCCCCAGCCAGGGTAACCTCAAGGATTCGGACGATCTGCGGGACCCACCCGCCAGCGGGGAGCGGCCCTGGGGGGGAGCGGCCCGTGGCCGGGAGGATCGCCTGGCCCGTGGGAGCAGCCCAGCCGAACCGAGCGACCGGCCAGCCCTCGTCTGGCGCGTGGGAGCAGCCCAGCCGCCCACTGCGAACTCCCGCACGAGCCCCCCGCCCATGGCCCAGGCGGTCGCTGCCAGCCGTCGGACAGCGGGCGGAAAGACCAGGCAGGCGCATGGCCAGGGCGGCCGTGGCATTCAGCGTTGAAGTCTCCCTTCAGGGGGGCCACTCCGCGAACTGAGGGGACTAGCTTACACCAGGTGCCAGGGAATCGCGACTGATCGTCGCACGCACGGGTGGAAAAGACAGATCCCACGGATCGGTTTTGGGGGGTCGTTCCGCGGTGGGGCAGCGCCGAGCATAGAGACCCATTGCCCTGAGGAGCGGGCGCCATTCCAGGCCCCGCCGGGCTGGAGACACCGAAGAGAGCTTCGTGTTGGCATCTGTCACAGACGGCTGACATTCCAAATGCGTTCGAAACGTCTTGGCACTTTTTTCCCAGATGTAAGATGCTCGATTTGTTGCTCTGACTTCCGCGGTCGGATCTCTGTTCAGGATTTGTCGGTGCAGATGCCTCGAGAAACCGCTCATCTGGCGTGTGAGAGCAACCCGGCCCACCCCGAATTCCCGCGCGCGATCGATCCCACCGCCCATGGGCCCAGGCGGTCGCCAACGGCCGTCGGGCCGCGAGCAGACAGACCAGGCAGGCGCATTTCCAGATCGGCCGTGCCAGTCAGCGACGAAGTCGCCCACGGGGGGGGTGGGGCACTCCGCGACGCGCAGGGTTGCGCTTGCACCAGGTGCCAGGGAATCGGCGCTACTGCTCCTGCGGGTCGACCTGGCGGGTCATTCCGCGGTCGGGCAGCGCCGAGCGTGGAGACCCACTGGCCCGAGGACCGCGCGCCGTGCCAGGCTCCGGCGGGCTGGAATGGTCGGAGCCGTGGGAGCGAGCTTCGCTGGCGCCTCGCAGGATCCCGCAGGGGCTAGGGTCGAGCAGTGGCGAAGCGTTCCGGTTCGCTTATAGCCCTACCAACCAATGTTCTAAGAATTTGTTGCGGTTTCCACGAAATGTTCTTAGAACATGTCTGGTTGGGATTGTCTTGTTTTAACACATCGGATGGGCCCCCCTCTCCCCCCACCGAATGGGCGTTCCCCGTCGTGGAAAATTTGGCCGCGCGCGTCACCAGGTCCTCCCGACAGAGGGGCATCCCCAGGCGTGGGAAGATCTGTCCCGGGCTGGTCGGAGGTCCCGTTCGATCTCCAGGTTAGAGAGAGTCAAGGCGGCCTCGACGGCTTCGCGACTGATCGTCGCAGTCACAGGCGTAGCGAGCGCTGCCAGCGCTGCCCTTTCCTCAGGGTTCAGGAGGAAAATCAACACAGACACAATTCATCGTCGACTCCCCAGGAAAATACAGGAAAATATGGGAAGTGGTGGGGAAGACAAAAACCCAGAACATATGGGGAAGATATGGGGAATCCTGCTATTTGTGTCTATTTGCACAGGGGTACCATAGTTTTGACCATAAGGCGTCAGCCTTCCGACCACCCCCCATCCCCCAGTAGAATCTTAGCGACAGGTTTTCGGTCGGGCAGCGGTCCGAAGCCGATGGGCTCGTACCCCGTAAGAATATATTCCAGATTTCGTAATGAAAGGGAGGGGGTCTGGACCCTCCAAGACAAGCCATTTCAGACCTCCCCCGTGGGAGAACCCTCCAAAACATCGTCCCCAGACCCCTCAGGCCCTCCAAGATAGCCTGGAAGAGACCCCCCCCGAAATGAGACCCCCCTCCCTTTATTACGAAATCTGGAGTAATAATGTATCTTTAAAACGGTGTGATAATCGCTCCGTCCTACTAAAAATAGGCCGGGAAATCATTCCGACTTGGACCCACTCGCACTGGAATCACTCCGCACAGACAGAGTCAAGTTTCTCTTAGGATTTGAGTCGTCGCCCCAAAGAAAGCGCACCCGCGCGTTTCCGCATCGGTTTGAATGTTTCATTTTGCGTTCTTTATCCAAGTAGACATCCGCTACGGGCGCGCGATGACCCCTCCTGGGGCCTTCGGGCCCCAGGAGGGGTCATCACGCGCCTTCGGCGGATGCGTGGCGCTCGGCATCCTTATCCAACGCGGTTGCTCCTGCTTCACTGGTTGGTCATCCGATCTCAGAGAGCTCAAGGAAGTTGGGGGGCCCGCATCGGGGCATGTCTGTTTCCTCCTCCGTCGTCGGCGGCACGCGGCACCAGCGAGGCAATTCTCCACCGATGGTCAAAAACTCTAGTACCCGACAAGTATTTGTGTGTCCCAGGGCCCCTTCAAGGGTGACCTGGCCCGGGGCGGCAAAGAGGGGGGTGATGACTAGGGGGTGGGGGGGAGATCATGTCGCGGGCCATGATATTTCCCCAGATTTCATGGCGCCTCTTCTTATTTCAGTGCGTCCCTGGCCACCCCGCTTGGCCGCACACATGCCGCCGGTCATGATGTGCACCCCCCCCTCTTGGACACCCCCCTCTTGGCCGCCCCCGAGTAGCGAGAGCCGCCGGTGCTGCCCGTGCCACAGGGTGACTTGGGGGGGGCCGCCCCGGGCCCAGACTGCACGGCGGGCAGCGTCGGGCTGGGTTTTTTCGGGGCTCCCAGAGGGCCGATGCCGGGGCGGAGCCGGGTCCACAGCAGCCAGGTCGGACCAGGCCGAAGCACGCGCGTGCCCCCCAGACGTCTCAAGAGGCCCCCAAATAAATGCCCTCCAAGGGTCATCCGCTCCTCCTTCTCCTGCACCTCCTCCTCCTCCTGCTCCTCCTCCTCCTCCTCCTCCGATTCCTCCTCGATACTCCCCCTCTCGGGGTACGACCTTTCACCCAGCCATTTATCCCATTGTATTCTCATCCAAATCCCTGATCAGGGCAACTCGTCTGGGCATCGCTTCTGGATGGGCTGGTGGGTCGGTCGGTCGGTCGACGACCTCGAGTGACTCAGTCTGCTGAGCTCTGCTGGGGGGATGGGGGCCACAATGGCAGCCTTCAGCCCAGACGCATGGGCTGCTGGGGGACAGGGGTTGTTTCTGCCACCTCAGGTCTGACGACAAGAAGGCGTGGTGCTGCGAGAACAAGCAGATGGGCTGTTCGACAACATCTTTGCCCTATGACTGCGAGGCTGGCTACTCGAACTGGGAGGCGGGCTGGTCGCCGGGGGGCACCCTGGAAGCCGCGCGCGCGCGCTGCACGGGGAGGAGGTCGGCCGGTCGGTCGGTCGAGGACCTCGAGTGACTCAGTATGCTGAGCTGTGCCAGGGGTGTGCGGGCTACAAGGGCAACCCTCGGCCGAGAAACGTGGGCTGCCAGGTAGCCCACGGGGCCGGAGGCTCTTGCTGTCCTGGGAGGTGGGGAGGAGGGTCTCCTGGCAGGCTCGTGTTCTCCTGCCTCTGGGCGTTCCGGCGACCCGCGCCCGCACTCCCACGCTCCCACGCCCCTCCTGCTCCCAGCCTCTCGCTCCTCAGACGCCTCGGCCGCCTGCCGGCACCGGGCTGGGCCGCTGGAGGCTCTTGATCTCTCGTGGGAGGCTGGGATCGGGTGTTGCTAGAGGTGCCCCTGGCCCAAGGTACCCCCCAGGGTTCTCGGGGTGGCCGAGGCGGCCTCCCAGGCCCCCCCTCGCGAGGCCCAGAGGGTCTCGTGGGCTCCAGAACGGAGCGAGAAGCCCAGGGGAGCGAGAAGCCCAGGGGAGCGAAAGCCATGTTGCTAAGGGGGCACCTCCGGCCAGGGGCACCTCTGGCAACACCCGCTGGGGAGGGGGCCGGGGAGTGGGGCGGCCCGCGGGGCGCCTTCCTGAGGCACCCACGGCGAGGAGGCAGGCAGGGCGGCGGAGGGCCGCGTGGCCGAGTACCTCAAAGATCGGGCCTGTCCCTCCACAGGAGGAATACTCAAACACAGTTTATAAAATAGCCTGGGGACTATTTTTGGGGGTATTTTTTTTGCCATGCTTGAGCATTTTTCTGGTATTTCTTATTCTTTGGTTGAAAATCCCCCAGTAGGGGGACACGCCCGACTCAACAATTGCCCCGCCCGCACTTTTTGGAGGCGGCGGGCGCGGGCACGCCCCGAGTTGGTTGAGCGGCTGATCGGAGGGGCAACGCTTGGGGGATACAGTGCCGTTTTTAATACATGCTCCGCGTGCGGATCATGTATTAAAAATGCAGGGGTTTAGTATTAAAAACAACGATGAGTTCATGCATAAATTTGTTCATGAATTAAGCATGTATTTAAAATCCGATATTTTCAAAAATCCCATGTGTCAAAACCTGCCCTGTATGGGCTCATGGGGGGAGCGCATCGACCCCCCGTCGCCCATGCATTGCCGATAGGGGCCATGTAGCTTGCCGCGCGCGGGAACGTGCAGCTTCGCTATCGGGGGCCCATCGCTGATCGATCGGCGGTTTCTGGCCGATTCCAGCTCGATGTTTCCCCCCAGAGCTGCCACCCCCCATCGTTCCCCCTCGGTGCTGCGGGCAGCGCTTGGCAGATGAGTTACCGCGCCGGCCTCGAGGCGGGCACCTCAAGGCGGCGGCGTGAGACCCCAGACCGCGCGCTCTCACGCGCCCACACACGCACAAACACACTTTTCTTTTTTCTGTTGCGGCCTCGCGCGCAGCGACGAGGCGAAGTGTACGATGGCGACAGGGCCCCCAAGCACCATGCAGTCCTACCAGCATAAGCCATCAGGGCGTGGATAGCAGGGAGGATACACGCAGCAATTTGGGAGATACCCTCAAGGAAGCATTTGGTATGGAGGACAGCATAAGCCATCCGGGCATGGAAGGCAGGGAGTGAGCGCGCAGGCCAAGGGGGTTGCCCCGACGGCGATCGTGAAGGACGAGGACGACGCCTGGCGGGGCCGAGCGAAGTGCAGTGCGCGCCAAAGGGCGACAACAAGGAGGCGTGCAGCGCCCTGAAAACCAAGACACACACACACACGCACAAACACACACACACACACGTTCATACACACACACACGCACACACACGCACACACACACACACACACACACACACACGCCCCCCCCCCCCCCCCACACACACACACACACACACAACACACCACACGCACAACGCACACGCACACGCACACGCACACGCACACGCACACGGCACACGCACACGCACACGCACACACACACACACACACACGCACGCACACGCTCACACACACACACATACACACGACACACACACACACACACACGCACGCACGCACGCACGCACACGCACACACACACACACACGCGCACACGCACGCACGCACGCACACACGCACACGCACGAACACACACACACACACACACACACACACACACACACACACACACACACACACACACACACACACACACACACACACACACACACACACACACACACACACGCACGCACGTACGCACGCACGCACGCACGCATGCACGCACGCAAATGCGCACACGCGCACACGCACACTCGCACACACGCACGCACACACACACATATATATATATATATATATATATATATATATATACATATATGGGAGATCCCGGGCCCCGGGCCCCGGGCCGGAACCTCCCTTGTATATAGGGTGCGGCCCTCTCCCGGGGCGCCCTTCCGGCGGCCCCCGCGCGTTCCAGCCCGCCCAAGAGGGCTCCAGGAGCGCCGAGAGAACCCCAGGATCGCTTCAAGACCGCCAAAGATCGCTTCCAGAAGGGTCAAGAGGCGCTCAAACCGCCCCAAGAGGCCTTCAAGAGGCCCCCCACGAGCGCCCCGGGAGACCAAAATAGCCCCATTTCCTTCGTAAAACGTACATTTTTACGATATCAGCTCCCTTAGCTGTCGGAGCGGCCAGAAAACCCCACGAGGCGCCCAAGGACGCTCCAGGACGACTGAGGACAGCCCCAAGACGGCCCAGGAGGGCCTCCCGGGACGCTCCTCCGGCGGCCCCCGGGCTGCCCAGTCCGCCCAAGAAGGCTCCAAGAGCGCCGAGAGAAGCCCATAGGATCGCTTCAAGACCGCAAAGGATCGCTTCCAGAAGGGCCAAGAGGCCATCAAACCGCCCCAAGAGGCCTCCAAGAGGCCCCCCAAGAGCGCCCCGGGAGACCAAAATGGCCCCATTTCCTTCGTAAAACGTGCATTTTTACGATATCAGCTCCCTTGGCTGTCGGAGCGGTCCGAAAGCCCCACGAGGCGCCCTAGGATAGCCCGAAGACAGCCCTGGAAGGCCTCCCGGGACGCTCCTCGGGCGGCCCCCGGGCCTCCCAGTCCGCCAAAGAAGGCTCCAAGAGCGCCGAGAGAAGCCCAGGATCGCTTCAAGACCGCCAAAGATCGCTTCCAGAAGGGACAAGAGGCCATCAAACCGCCCCAAGAGGCCTCCAAGAGGCCCCCCAAGAGCGCCCCGGGAAACCAAAATGGCCCCATTCCCTTCGTAAAACGTACATTTTTAGGATATATCATCCCTTGGCTGTCCGAGTTGTCAGACAGCCCCAGGAGGCGCCCAAGGACGCCCCAGGACGCCTGAGGACAGCGCTAAGAGGGCCTAGGAGGGCTTCCTGGGACGCTCCTCGGGCGGCCCCCGGGCCTCCCAGTCCGCCCAAGATGGCCCAAGAGACTTCCCGGTCGCCCCGAGAGGGCCCCCGGAGCGCTCCGATACGGCCCAACATGGCCTCCATAGGTCTTTCTATGTTTTGAGGCCCAGAATGAGGCCCTCCAGATTTGGTCCGACGATGTGGCGCGGCTCCAAGGGGGGGGGGCCTAATATTGCAGAACAATACAATATGTAGCATATGTAACAAGTATGCAATCGTTGGATACACTGGACACGTTGCATTAAAGCATCCGCGGACCTGCCTCTGGCAACACGTCATTTTCGGACGTAGATTTCCCGCGAATCGCCACGGAATCGGACCCGTTCTTGCGAACACCGTTTTCGGAGAAAACTAGACGGGGGTACTAAAAGTTTTGACCATAAGAACGTCATGCTCTCGACGCCCCCTGCCCCCCCGTAGAATCTTAGCGACATGTTTTGGGTCGGGCGGCGGTTCGACTCCGATGGGCTCTCACCCTGTAAGAATATAATAATATATATTTAAAACAGGGTGATAATTACTCCGTCCCATTTAAAATAGGGCCGGAAAACACTCCGACTTGAACCCATTCACAGTAAACCACTCCGCTTGGGTCACGTTTGATCGTCCGTGTCATCATCCCCATCGACCCTGTCCTTATCATGCCAACGCGATGTTTCATTGTATTCCTTGTTGCGTTGATGCTGTGAGACCCTGGGCATCCTTCTCCAATGCGGTCGCTCTCGGTTCACTGGTTGGCCGTCCCAGAGGGCCCACAAAGGCTCGCGAATCCGCATCGAGGCACCTTTGCATCCTGATCGGTCCGCCGCGGCACGCGTGACCAGCGAGGCAATTCTCATCTTATGGTCAAAAACTTTAGTACCCCCGAAGGGCAACATGGGTTCTCGCCGCCGCCAATCATCATCGTCATCTCCATCATCTTTGCAGCCGCTTTGGCTCAAGACCTTAGCAAGGATTTGCTCTGCTGTTGGTCATGGGGTTGACAGGCGCAGTGCAAGCCCGGAGGGCTTTGGTGAAGTTGCTCCTCACGGTTGCTGCGGCGTACTCGGTTGTGGTTCGCCTCCACAGGGACTCCCAGGACAGCGAGGTGATCGCAGCCTTTCGAAAGGTGCTCCGCAAGGCGCACCCGGACAAGGGCGGGGCAGACGAGCACACGAAGCAGCTGAACGCCGCGAAGGAGCGTCGTGAAGAGCAAGATGGCACAGTCCGTGGGGGCGGCGCAGGCGAAGCTGATGAAGCGCGTCTGCAGGGAAGTGGTGCGCAAAAAGGGCGCGGCCACGGGCTTCTGAAGCGGGCCAAGCCCCGAGCCGCATTGGGGCGCGTTCACACAGGTGGAACAACTCAAAATCAGCGTCGGCGTTTGCCGCGCGGGTGAGCACTCCATCTGCCCTGGCCGTTGGCCGTGCAGGTGAGAAAAGTCCGCGCGGGGGGTACTATAGTTTTGACCATAAGACGTCATGCTCTCGACGCCCCCTGCCCCCCCCGTAGAATCTTAGCGACATATTTTGGGTCGGGCGGCGGTTCGACTCCGATGGGTTCTCACCCTGTAAGAATATAATAATATATATTTAAAACAGGGTGATAATTACTCCGTCCCATTTAAAATAGGGCCGGAAAACACCCCGACTTGAACCCATTCACAATAAACCACTCCGCTTGGGTCACGTTTGATCGTCCGTGTCATCATTCCCATCGACCCCTGTCCTTATCAATCCACGCGAGGTTTTTTGTATTTCCTTGTTGCGTTGATGCTGTGAGACCCTGGCACCTTCTCCATGCGTTCGCTCTCGGTTCACATGGCTGGGCCAGTCCCAGAGGGCCCACAAAGGGCCCTCGCGAATCCGCATCAAGCACCTTTGCAGTGCATCCTGAAGTCGGTCCCCGCGCACGCGT